CTGTTGACTTTTCCAAGGTTTTTTCAGTAGTACTCTATATCCTATAATAGTTAGAAAACTGGAATGTTTATAGCGTGGTCCTGATTTCATGATTCTGTCTGTCATCTGCCAAGAGTTGATTAAATTATAACATCTGAAAGTGCATGAAGGATTTTCCTACTGCTTCCCCTGTTCAGGTTTGTCCACAGTTGTTTCAGGAAAAGTATAGAATTTTGAACTCAGGATTTGGTTTTCAGACAGTGACAGCTCACTATGCAATATTATTGAGAGACAAAGAATTATTTTGATAGGCAGATTCCATGCTCCAACATGAGCCTCTAGCAGTTGGCTTCACCATCTCAGTGATTTTTTAAAGGTGTATTGGAATAAAGGAGCCTCTATTGGGAGGTTGTTGAAAGATTTTCATTAAGAGCCACAGAGTTGGTAATTTAGAATATGCTGAAATCCCTTTGTTTTAGGCATACAGCAACCACTGCTAACATTTGGCATTTTGTTTTATTGAAGTTCCTCAATTAAATATGTCCTTGTTGAACAATACAATGCCATATAATGTGAAATAAAACTGTAAAATCTAGCCTGAAGAAGAGCTTGATGTAAACTTGAAAATTTGTCTTTTACCACAGAAGTTGGTGCAAATATTACGTCACGCACCTTGTTTCTTTACTATACAAACTGTCATTTAAACACAGCTTGTGACTGACATACTTGTAAGTTAATATTCTGTTTGATCGAATGCAATAATCAAAACTACCTTAGATGATGGAGTAGTGTAAGTTCTTGCTTGGCTGACTATATTGTGTGTTCTCTTTTTCCCTCCACTATTCATTTCAGAAACAGCCAGTGAAGAGGAGTCTCCAGTGCTTTCCTATTCTCATCTAAATAGTGAAAGCTCTGTTCCAGAAGAACTAGGCAGTCCAGCTGGTGAAACTGGCCCATCAGCAGCTGTGGACCAAAGGCAGCCAGTAAACCCAGATCATATTACACTTACTGAAGAAATGGTTTATTCACAGGAACTAGAGTCTTCTACCTCACCAGGCAAACTTGTGAGTGAACTTTATCCTTTACTCTTGCATGTTCTAGTACTGGTAAAGAACCAAATTGGAGAATAAGCTTCCTAGTAACCATTTAAAGCTTTCTACACAGAGATTAAATGGTTTTGTACCTGTGATGCTATGTCTGAGGGTGTCAATAAATTTTGCAGATGCATACTTTCTTTAAAATCTTGAGCAAAAAAGGGGGGGAATGGAGTCAAGTATTTTAAACTTGTGTGCAGCATTAAAAGAGATTTTGAATTTTTCTGTAGGGCTGCGCAACATAATCAGTGGAATGCTAGCTGAGGATACCAGAATGACTAGTTTGAAAGATAGTTTGTTACATTTATGTTAGTCATAAGCAGCTAATACTTTGATTTTGATTTGAGTAATTAATTATGAAGTCTTTGGGGATATACCATAGCGTCAGGACTCCTACATAGTCTTGCAGATTTCAACATATAATGCCAGCTTGCTAGGTAATTCTGGCTTTCGGCTGTGTTTCAAGTATTATGTCTGCTTGCATCATGCTAATTCTTGTTCTCCCAGCTTTATACCTGGATGAAGCTATGAGGCTAAAAATGCTGTCATTCACTGTCTGTGGAGACACTGTTCATCTAGACTTGTATTGAGTTTTATAAACCCTTTTTTCTCTGGCAAAGTCTGTTTAGAACATGCAGCTGAAGAGCTAGTGCAATATAACATCTAGCGTGCCAAAGTTTGTATTCTGTCTGGGTAAAAGGCCTGTGGCAAGCATACTGTGGTGTGGTAAGCAGGTTTCTGGAAGGGAATCTGCCCTTAAGAGAAATTTTGCCTGGCTGTTAGTGAGTCTGTGTTGTGGTGATTGATTTAGGAGGGGCAATGCCTTATAATTCCTCATATTGAGAAATGGGTTTGTTTGTTTGTTTGTTTTTTTAGTTTATCAGGTATGCTTGGCAACAGTTTTTATGAAAGTGAAATTGCATAAACAAATACATTAAACATATTGTAATCTGAAGAACACAAGGTTTCTTGAACAACAATAAACTAGTCCATGTAAGGCAGAATTACTGAGGCCCAGGATCAAGATAGATGTCAGCTTTTGCTACGTTAGGTAGTTTTGTTCTGAAACATAATACACTGAGAATGATAATGCTTTTGTTAATGTATTTGGATAAGTAGTTAGCTATTTTCTATTGCTAAAGATTAATGACTAGAGAATGCCTTTCTTCCTTGTAATTAACTCCAGTTGTGACAGTGATCTCATACTGTTAAATTGAGCTTCACAAGTAGATACTTATTTTTCCTTTTGTCTTTGAATAGTCTCCTTCCAAAAGCAGTACATCTGTATCAAAGCAGGATTCCACTAAAGGAAGCTACAGAATTGGAGTGCAGTTGCATTTACCTGTGAAATCCCATCAAGTATCACACAGTTGGTCTGATGAATCTTTATCCATGACGCAATCAGGTGAGATTGAAGATACCAAGAATACATTGCATTGTGTTTAAATTGATTTCTCATACTCTATAATTTGCTACCCTGTAACTTAACTTCTAAATCTAATTATGAGAGCTGGCAGGATTTGAAATTGCTGTGACTTCAGGACTCTGGTGGAGATTTTTTTATGATAATTTCGGTACAGCAATGAAAAAGCTTCCTAAATTGTGATATCATTAATTGTTCTAGAAGCAACAGAGAGCCTGAAAATTTGATCTCTGAAGTTGGAGGACTGATCTTTCAGATCTTTTGTTTTTAAACTGGGTATAAGTTTACGTGAACGTTTACTGATATGAATGAGATCTTAAACATGTTTTTTTTCCATCAGTTCGCTGTTAATGAAGCAGCTGTTACTGACTTGGAGAACCCCTGTTCAGAGTATTTTGACTTAGTTATTCACATCCAAGGACATTCTGCAGTTTGTGAGCGTCAGAATGCCACCTTCATTGTAAGAAAGTTTGCACTGGAGTTGTCTATCTGTACTTGAACTTCAATGTAGGATGTAGTTGATATACGATTTTTAATATCCTATCTGTATATACGTGTAACCTATCCTATCTGAAATGTTTAGAGGTTACATGTCTACACGCAGGGGTGCAGGTGGGAGCCGGCTGATAGAGAGGCAGCAGGAGGAGGGGAGAGAGCAGGCAGCTCTGCGGGAGCTGGTATGCATGGAGAACCAGCTTGAAAGCCTGCTTCCTGAGTGTACCAGCTCCCGCCTGCCCCCCCACCAGCCCTACTTGCATTAAAATTATTCGTGAATTTAGAAAGCGTGTGCTTATATACCCTGTTGTTCAAACAGCAAAAAGTGTCGGCCACCGCTACTGCAAAAAAGTTAACACCTGGCATAGATATTGAAGGTGGCCCTGGTAACACCAGCCTATTCAGGTTGCCTTATACTTTCCATTATAAGATTGTGTTTGGTTGTTTGCAGTTTTGACAAACTTAAACCATATGGGCTGCAATTTTCCATGCTGGATGTCTGCCTTGTACTGAATTTCCTTAGAAAATTTCAGCCAAAATTGTTCAAGTATTTCTGGAAACAAGGCTAGGGAAAAATACATTGTTTTGCCTATGTAGAAAAATTCTGATGCACTTGAGTAGCTGTAGTGACCCCATGCTTTGGAGGAAGGACTTGAAGTTTGACAGGACTGCCTTCATGTTAGGGATATGCCTTTTAGCCTTCCCTATGGAAATCCACCACCTGAATTTGGCCAGGTTTATAAGCCTTTGAAAAATCAGTTCAAACATGCTCAGTAGAGACTTTCTGGAGTTCAGCAGCTAGAATCTCTGCAAGTTCTGAGTCAAGAGAACTGGGAGTAGCTGGGTAAAATGATTCCCATAAGGAGGTAGGGGAGAGAGCCTGTGAGAGGTCAAAGAACCCAGGAGGAACAGTGGGATTGAAAGCTAATGGAGATGCAGAGAGAGGATGGGGGAAGGAAGCAGACACTGGGCAGGGGGGATTGGGACTGGTAGTAAAAGGGGACTGGGAGTAAGGAGCTAGTGGGGGAAGACTTGTCAAGAAGTCCAGAGGGGTAGGACTGGGATGTAGAGTCCAGAAGGGACACTGGAACTGGAAAGCCTGAGGGCTGAAAACTGCGACTGGCTAGGTGAGGAGAATGGGACTGGGACAAGGTGCTATGTGGGAAAGAGATAGGACTGAGATAGGTTTGAAGGGGCAGAAGAATCTGTGCCAACTAGACATGCTCCCCTCCAGAATTTGGACTGGAACCCAAGGTCCCTAGGTCTCACCTTTCCCCTGCTGCCAGTGGTACCTGTGGAGTCCACTG